ATGAGCTACCTCATGAGAAAAAAGCCTAAGAATTTCAAGCCCCACCATGACTAATTAAAAAAACTGTGGAAAAAATCAAAATATTAGTGATGTTTGGCCAAACTCCACTTTTTACCCTCTTAGTATTCTCTACCCTCATTCCTGATGGGTTGGCCCAGAAAGTAATTGTACTCTCACAAGCATAGAGTCAACACGATCTCAATGCTTTCTAGTACAGTAACTCTTCACTTAATGTTGTCCCGGTTAATGTTGTTTCGTTGTTATGTTGCTGTTCAATTAGGGAACATGCTCATTTAAAGTTGCGCAATGCTCCCTTATAATGTTGTTTGGCAGCCACCTGCTTTGTCCACTGCTTGCAGGAAAAGCAGCCTGTTGCAGCGAGCTGGTGGGGGATTGGAACCATGGTGGACCGACAGCCCCCCTATCAGCTCCCCGGTCCGCTAAGTTCCCTGTGCAGCAGCTGCTCAGCAGGCTATCAAGTGCAGGCCAGTTCAGTTGTCCCTCCCCCCACTGCCATGTACTGCTCCTGCCCTCTGCCTTAGAGCTGCTCCTGGGAGCCTCCTGCTTGCTGTGGGGGGGGAGGGGGCGGTAATGTCAGGGTGTTGTTCCCCCACACACACTCCTGCCCCCCATCTCCACAGAGCAGGGGGACGGGGACATGACAGGGCTCAGGACCGAGGGAGCATGATGGCAGTAGCTGCTGTCTCAACTTCTGATCTGCTTAAAAAGGCAGTGTACTTAGAGTAGGGTCAGTGTACTTTAAAGAGGCAATGCGCATGTCTCTCCCTCTCCACCCCCCCGCATGTGGTGTGTGTGTGTCTTCTCCCTCCATTCCTGCTGCTTTGTAGAGTATGAGGCTACATTAACAACGTGTTAACCCTTGAGAGCTCAGCCGAGAGCTAGTTCATCATTTAGCAGTAAGGCATTCCCTGGGAAATATCCCACCCTCTGACTCCACCACCTCAACCAAGCTTCACAATCATTGCTGTGTACAGTATTGTTTGTTTAAAACTTACCCTGGGGGGGTGTGTGTGTGGTGGGGGAATGGAAAATCACTGGCCCTAAACTCTGGATTCTCTCACTTTTAGAGGCTGACTAATATTGGTATCATGGAACCACACATATGGTGGTGCTTTCACATGGCTGGTAGAACCCCTTCAGTGTGACAACCCTCCTTGAGGGTTACTCCCGCTCACTGGGGTAAGCCACTTGGCTTCACCACATTCCTGGGACCGCACCTTCAAGCCTTCAGTCTGTGAGCTCCCCTCAGTGAGTCCACTCGAATTGGATCTCCAGGGGAAGACTTGCACATCCCAAGGGAGCAATGGAACCCTGACCTCTTTAGACTAGAGTGACTCTGAGACAGTGATGTAAAACAGAAGGATTTGTTAAATGTCTGGAATACAGCATGGGGGCCCTTAGGTTAGCATGGAGAACGGAAAACAGCCAAGTCCCTCTGGGGCTGACTGGAGCCCAGGGTGCGCTCTCTCAGACCCTCAGCATCCCTGCTTCCAGCAGACCATGGCCCACATGTAGCTACCCCCTTGGCCCCTTCTTAGTCTTTTGTTCCTTTTCCCAGGCTAACAGGGTCACCTGGTCTCCTCCTGACTTGCTCTTTGTTTTATAGCTGGCCCCACCGGCTGGCTTCCTGCAGAGGGCCAGGGTTGGCAGGTACTTGATAGCAAATCACCAGACAATTGTCAGGACCCAGGGCCTATCTGGATCTCTGGATTCTTCTGCAAAGAAACACCTTTTTCCCCTTCCCCTAGTTAAACTTGCAGTACATAGGGGAAATGGAGGCATGCACAATATGCATACAAAATATTCTGAAAACCCCCACTTTATCACAGCTGGCTTTCTGCCAAATCAGAACTTTCACTTACCTGAAATAATAGCTGTCCCTTTCTGCTGCAAAGATGACTTTCACAATGCAACTTTCTGCACTACAGCTATGTCTTGAGTCAGGGAACCCAACCTCAACATAAGGCTTGTCTACATGGCACCACGGTCTGGACTAAAGGGGTTGTGAACTGTAGAGCATCCTAACCTATTGTGCTCTTTAAATTCCCTGTGTCGAACTAAAAGGTACCTCGCTCACCTTGATGTAGTCCCATTTCCAACAGTACTATGTTAGTGCGAACAGGATAGTTTTTAGTTCGTGCCAGCAGGATCTATGTGGGGTAGTTAGAGCACAACACAGTAGGGTACACTACAGTTCACAGCCCGTAATCCGCAGTGCAGTGGAGATGAGCTTATATTGTCCCTGGTCTGTTTCAACACTGTTCCATAACTAAGCTATATTCTTAACCTAAGTTCAGTGACCACACTAGAGGGACATGGAGGATAAGACATTAGCTTGATTATAGAACATTTTTCAGCTCCATTGTACACTACAGACTGAAACAACATAGTAACCAGGTTCCTTGACACAGCTGTATTGGTTATGTGGTTGGGCTTTTAATAAATGCAGTGCTGCTTTGCAGAAAATTCTGTCTAGGTAGGCAGCAGGCGAAGGTGTGAAATGTATTATTGCCTAAAACTATCTAGTTACATGTCTGTTTCAAAGCCTTGTTAGGACCATTTCACAAATACAAGTAATGAAAACGCAAGTCTCCTCACAGGGGTGAGATTCTGTCTTTAAACTCTTCCTCCCATTTCCTTTTAGGGATGGCTTTTTGCTTTTCAGTAAGACTTTCCTGTCACACTGCATGTGCTGGGAAGATAGTGGGGTCATCTTTTTCCCATTCATCTTTTGAAATCTCTTCATTTTTCAGTCCCTTACTTGTGTAAGAATTGAGGTTGGGAAGATAGTTCTTTTTGTGTTAAGTGTTGCTACAACTGGATTTATTATCTGTCAAGGGGATGCTTCACACGCTATCTTTGGGGACTCATAATTACAAAACTTTAGAAATGTCCAATCTCTTAAATCCTGTCTACATTGGGGTCCCAGCAGAGTTAAGCAACCGTGGTTTAAAGATAGCTTCTGCTAAATTGCTTTCTAACAGGGTGTTTCCTTCGTCCAGTGTGCACCATGTTTAAAAATTGGTTTGATCCAGCCATACGGACTAGCCAAACCCAACCTTTAGAATGGACTAATTTGCACCAAATGACAAAAATTTTCAGACTCTCAAGAGGGTAGATACACCCAGACCTTCAACAGACACTTCACCTCCACTCCCAATTTCAAATGACACAAGTTAAATACCATTTTATGCTATCAATAGTTATATTTTTCTAGGAAGTCATAAATATTTCCAGCAAAGTTCAGTTTCATATGTTGTTTTGCTGACTGGTATGGCCTCCTTCTCTGGCTGAGGAAGACACTTCTGTTTAAATAGGAAGACCAGCTAATAGGCCTTCTTGCCCTCCTCTATGAAAGAATGTGCAGTCCTGGTCCCTGTAGTTTATCTAAAGCTTTAGGTGTCGGAGCCTTATGTTAAAATACTGACAAAGCACGTCACTATGAAATGTAGAGTTCTCAGTAAGCTGGTATTCAAGTTGTATCCCTATTCTGCATAGTACTGTAAAAGGTCACATACCAGGAAGTAAATTTATGAATTATAGTTCAGGTTAACTTCAGATCCATTCAGGGATGCCTGTTCTCATTTGAAAAGTGATGTTTGTGACACACACAATATAGGGGTCCATTGTCGGGAACAGCTTAGTTCCTGTACACTTATAGGTCAAACTGTCTGAAAGACGTGACACATCACTGTTTAAACTTACCACAGACTAACAAATTAGCAATGGCAAAGACCCATGAGATCATCTTGTCCATCCCCTGTGCCAAAACAGAATTTTCTCTACAATGTGTCTCCAGTGCTTTGTTTGGCTTTAAATGAGGCTTCCACAATTTCTTTTGGCAAATGGTCTAATTGATCTCACTCTTACAAAATCTTTCCTGATTCATTCTAAATTCCCTCTGATTACATTCATCCCATCACTCCTCTGATTGTGACACTCGGAAGCAATACATTTATTCCAATTATTGTACTGGTGTTGGCATCTGGTTTCCAGTTTCAGATATTGCTGATCCTACTGTCAGAGCGTGTTAGGTGGTTTACAAGTGCAGTCTGTTTTAAATGTAAGCTGAAATATATATACATTGTACAAGATCAAACTACTTTTCATCTGTGAAGTTTCATTATGCTACACTAAGCCAAAAGGGTGTAGTCGTTTTAAGATGGTGTTCAGGGTACTTTTATTCTTGGTATATGCAGTAAGGTGATGTATTTTAAGAGCTTGTGAACTTATTGCATTTGCTCATGAGGAGTGAATTTGTAAAACTTGTGAATTGTAAAACTTGTTCTGTGTGAAACCTCTGTCCTAGCTGGTACAATGCTCCTTCTTTGCTCCTTGCACTAGAGTAGACAGCCAGGAAGGAACCTCAAATTGCTTCCAAATGTTCACTGCTTGGGCTTGGATGAGGCCCCCACATTTTGTTAACATCAAGAATTTGCTAAGCTGGCTGTTCTTGACAAATCGTTTTGTTCTGGCTGGACTGGTTCATGCTTATTTTGTTTTATGATGTCCTCCCCTGCCCCCATCTTAGTTCATAAGAAAAATATGTCTCAAGCCAGAGACAAAAGCAAGAATGATTTAACTTTTCTTGCACATTTTTATGGTTATTATAATTGCTGTTTGAAATTGATCTTGGTTCTAAACTACACTTTACCATATGATTTTTCTTCCCTATGTTTTAGAACATAGTTTCAAGATTCCATCCTAAATCCCACAAAATGAAACTGTTACTCTTGCTTGACGGTCTTTATAGAAAATGCCTGAGCGATAAAGATTCATGCTTTTGTATTACTGTGATGTCATTGTAACGTTTTTTTTCCCCCACTCCGGTGAATCTGTAATAATGCTTTCTCCCCAGTGTATTGTCTCATGCATCCTGACTGATTTTACTTATTCTATCAGAAAGTGGTGGTAATGCTGTTGTATTCTGCATCCTTTGAAGATGTGGCTGTAATTAACTGTTCTTTCTTTCTTTCTAGTGTTGTTCCACTTTTAAGAGAGTCCATTGGAATCTTAATGCAGCGAACTCCGCCTTCCCTGGAAAGTGCCCTGCCTCAGTGCTATCAGAGGGTGAGCTGTTCCAGTTCAGGACATGTTTGCATAAGACTTAACTATTAAATGAATAAGCAACGTACGTTTGGACTTCTAGGGGGTGTTCTGGAATGTTTTCCTAACAGTAAATCCACAGAGGATTCCTTAAATCTATCCTAAACACATACATATGAATGAAAGCTTATCTGGAAATGCTCAAAAGCATAACAAAAAACCTGGATTTGACTATCTGAAGTCACAAATTCTACATATTCTGTAGTCCTAACCTAACCTTCACAGTATACACTTTTTTGGCTTGGAATAGATCTCAAAACCTTTGTGACACGATATATTTTTTTTAAAAAAAAGTGGTGTAAGCCTAATGTGCATATTAGAGAGCAGTATAATGGAAATTTCACAAGAAGACCAGTTGGTTCTTTGTCTGTAGAATTTGCTCGTTCTCCAGTTCTGAACTGATGTTCAGCAGCCATTGCTGAAGATCCTTTGAATAGAAAAAGGAGTATTTTTCTCTCCCCCTCTAGAGCAGTTACCTTAACCTTTCGTAAGAAGTGGTGAGGCATATTAAAAACATAGTTTGCATTTGGAATTGTGTCCCTGATAGCTATACAGTATTGTATGTGTTGCATACATTTCATGTCTCTTATGGAATGCTAGCATGATGCATGTACCAAAGAAGTGTCCTTGTTTTTTTCCCCCAGTGGTTTATGGGATTGCTGTGTAGCACTAAACATCTCACAAAAAGAATTCCTGGTTGAGATGAGAATTGGGTGCATCTTGCACACCCTGAAACAACTGTACATGTGCCGCCTTCCTTGCCTCAAACAAAACTGTTTTTAGAAAGGAGTGAAGAACAAACACCAGGTTCCAGTGAAGGGAATGTGTAATACAACTGTAGCCTAGTGCAGCAGTTGTGCGGATATGTAATAGAACCTTTCCACTTAACTCTCCTCCTCATGCTTTTGAAGACAAAAAGTACTAATTTTAAATGAGACCTCACTAAATGCTCTTATGAAGATGAGTACTTTATGCCTGACATTTATATTAGCTATTAGCTATTTGCTATAAAGGAAAGCACAGTGTGTGGTAATGTATTTTTTTTCAGAAATCATTTTTGAAATGTCTGTCATTGGTATTTTAGGTTCAGCAGTTGCAAGGAGTTTACAGTTTACATGATCCACACTTCTGGACCCTTTGTAGTGATGTTTACATAGGGACCTTGAAACTATTTGTAGCTCCTGATGCTGACGCCAAGTGGATTCTAAGCCAAACTCACAATATTTTTACTCAGGTATGTCTGCCTTACTTGTTAGAAACTCGGAACACAGTAGCATGCTTGGATACCGTGGTGTGTGCGTGCGTGTGTGTGTGTGTGATGGAGAAAACATGGATGTAAAAATAAAAGTGGAGCAACAAAATGTTTATAAAAGTAACAGTTCTGTGTTCTGTCTTTAACACCAAACCAAACACTGTTGTTAAACTTATGATTAACTCCAGCTACCAGAAGCAGAATGGTTAAACTGAAACCTGTTCAATATATGTGGCTCATTCCTCTTCATCAGTCTCTTTGCTGCCTCTTAAAGGGAGACATGACATCAGAATGCTGTAGTCTTAGAGGTGCATTGAAGCCTTATGTTGATATACCAGGGACCAAGAAAACAGATGAGGCTTTCAAGATGAGATGTCTGACCACAGAGACTAACCCTACTTCTGCATCCACTGTGATGCCTCTGTATTGGCATTCACTTCTGTTGCTCTAAGAAGCCACATTTTCTGCATGCTTTGTTGCCTTCTAGCAACTTCCAGGCGGTGGTAGCCACTAAAGTCAACATTTACCAACCATTACCATATGCTGGTTTGAGATCATTGCATTTCCCCTTTTCTTAGGCTAAGAAATAACTTCTGTATCTTAAACTGTGTGGTAAAAGTGGTTCCAGCTGAGGTTAGACTGCCAAAATCAATACAGACTACATGGGCACTTCATTAGAAATTGATATTCTCTTGTTAAAGGAAGAAAAATCAACAACCAAAGCCAGTTTTCTATCACTAACTGATGCATTAAAAGGAAAGGCAATGAGATTCAATTGGCTGTCTATAGCTAATATCTGAAGTCCGTAACATATGATGCCACAGTTTAAAAAAAAATTAATGGTATCTGCTGCATTTACTCTAACAAGCTACATTTCACCTTGTTGTATCTAACCTCTAAGTCACAAGACATCTTACCTTGACCAGGATCTGACGCTCAAGTGTTACAAGGTGCTGTATACCATTCAGTTCTAAAAATGGTATATATTTGGGCAGTTGAAATAATATAGAGTTCCAATGTTTCTCCTTCCCTGATTTCACTCTAATGAAATAGGAAGTTTTCTCCAGAAAAAAAGAAATCTTTTGCATATTTTATGAATAAAAGCCAACATACTTATCCCTCTCTGTTCTGTAGCTTCCAAAGAATCCAGGCTTGTGTCCTGTTTTTGACTTCTTGATGATGTTTCTGGATAGACATCCCATGTACCACTGTCAGACTAAGAGCCATCCTATGTTTGGTCTGTTGGAGGAATACCTTCCTTCAGATACCTGTGCCTCTCCAACACAGGAAATTCTTAGATTGTAGATGATGAGTAGCATCAGTTCAGCTCTGAATTGGCCTCTACCTGTCCATATTCCCCAGAGTTAACTCTATTCTAGAATTCATCAAATTCGAGTAGCATTGTTTGAAGAGTTCAGATAGGAACTTACATGTACTTATTTGTGTCCACACTGTTTTACTTAAGAATGCACAGTGCATCTGCATTAAAGGGAGGCTTTAATTCCAAACGTTGACCCTGTGCAAAACTGAGGTGATGCAGACAGGAAGATGGGAATGCTTCCAAGAACTTGCTTTCTCTGAACTTATCTCACAGTGAAGGGCATCTGCCCTCAGATTTTTGGTTCACCAACTTGCACTTAGATGTATAACTAGTCATGGTGGCAGAAAACGCAGTTTCCTGACGGGAAACTTAATGCAAAACTCATTTATTTGGCTTAATCTTTTCTGCAAAAAAAAAGTTGTGTGCAGTGAACACACGTGCACCTTTGAAAACAAAGCTGTAAACTAACCAAGTTACTTCTGTTACAAGGCTTGAAGAAAGTAAGGGATTGTTGTAATGTCTGGTCTTAAATCCTTCCGATGCACTCAGAAGCACCGTGATAGTGGGGAGAGGGAGAGAGCAGCATATAAATACTTAGGTAAATAGTAAGGGATGAAACCTTTTATACATGGGCTTCAAACTTAATTTACCTTTCAGTTGTTGCATACTTTTTTCTTGCCCTGTTTTCTAACTATTGGAGGTTTAATAAAATATTGTCAGATTGTTACTAAAGTGGTGATATTCAATATGTGACACAACATTACATGATAATGAACTGATTATCCCATAGACCTAGGATTAACTTCAAGGAGATCATCAATAGAGAGGGACAAGATGCCAAAGGAAGGGAGTTTTATTTGAGCCCAAATATTTATAATGTCAGTGAGGAAAACAGGAATTGCCTTGGTCAGTTAAAACAGCTAATAGGTTGAACAGTTCAGTCTGGAGACGGCTTACATATGTGGGAGGGCCAGTTCTTGGGAAGGTTAGCTTGGCTGTGGGGGCAGTCTGTTTGGATGGACAGCCTCGTAATTATTTTGTCATCTCAAATCTCTTGAATCTCCAGTGAAAGAGACTTTTTTGCTAGCAAGATGTCACCTATTCTATATGTTCACTCTAGGGGTTGGTATCAAATGGACTTAGGATAAAGGATACATCTTCTTTCCCTTTGATATGTGGTAGTAGGTGGAGCAAGCATTTTTTGAGCAGTACCGGAGATCATAGTTCTTAAAGTTGTAATTGGCAGGTTAGTCAAAGTGAGCTCGGATGTTCAATATAGACACTCCCTGACTTAAGCAATCATTCCATTCCGGAAAGCCTTGCGTAACTTGAATTTTGCGTTAAGTTGGAAACGTATACCCGAATGTTACGCCAAAAAACCCCAACCCAACAAAAAAACCTCCTATTCCTAGCTTATGGAACTTTTTCCATAAGTGCAAATTTGCATAAGTCGGGTCTTGCGTAACCCGGGGAGTGTCTGTATACATTACTGCTGAAACAAAGTCCTATACGCTTCAGGGACCCAGACATATTACATTTTCTCGAGTTTGGTTCTGTTCCTAAAGACTCAAGTCAAGTGATTCTAGTTCTCACGTTTACTCTAGAGTATGGCACATCCTTGACTGAGGGCTTGTCTACATGAGTCGTACCAGTGTAAGGTAAGGTATCAATTTAAACTGCTATAACACCCTGTGTGGACATTCTTATTCCAGAGTAAATATGGCTTTTTCTGGTTTAGTTTATGCCATTTTGGAAGTAGTTTAAGCTAAACAGCAAAAAGCTACTCCTTATTCCAGCATAAGTGTCCACATGGTGACTGTAGCAGTTAACTATACTGGTATAACTTCCTATGTAGACAAGTTCTGAGAGGCAGTCGTGGATGTTTTGATTATTTGCATGGAAGCTGAGCATTTTTTGTGTAGATCTTGAGCTCGCTAAAAGTTGTCTTCCACTGCCGTAGCCATCTAAGAGGCTAGTTGACATTAATCTGATTCTCAGCAATGTGTTCTCATTCTATGTTTGTTATCTTTCTCCTGAAGATGATTCTGCATAAGGAACTACGCACACCATCTTTGCAGCCTAGCAGCATGACTTTAAGGGTTAATAGTCTCTTAAATAATTTACTCCTTATTTGATATAAAATGATGGCGGAACGAAAGTTTAATCTCTTGAGGTTTTTGAGCAGAGGGGTGATTTGTAATTTATGTGCTCATAGAGTATTGCCAAAAGTTATTTTGGTGTTTCACATAAATACACCATTGCCATGCCTCTCTTCTCTACAAATCCCTGTTTGCTGTAGAACAGCTTCATAGTTCAAACTACGTCACATCCTAATGCTTTGCCTCACTTGAACTGGCATCCGTTCTAATGGTTAAAACACACACATTAGACTTTTTAAAAATGTATGTCACGTGATCTTTAGATTGTGGTTGAAGAACTTGTGCTTTAAGATAAGCTTTTTTAACATTGTAGAAGCCCTACACATCTTCAACTCATGCACTTACATACATCCATTTTTAATGGATGTTTGAGTATGTTTCGTAAAATCATTACTATAGAACAAGCTATCCAGTAGATTTGTTTGTTCACAAACACAAAGGTTTGTACACAAACAAAAAGGTGTACGTATGATAGCATTTGGAACTGGGGTACAGTTGTGTGGGTCATAATTGTTCAGTTTTCTAATTCTCCCTCTTGTGTTTACAGGCAGGAGTCAGACAGCTTTATGTACAGATTGACTTTGCAGCCATGTAGTGAACATCATAAATTGTGTTCTTTGGACCAAAGTTTTCTGGTACTGTAATGATATAAAACATAGTACTCTTCAAGACAGAGCCACCACCACCCCAGTTAACCAAGACCAAATAGACTGCTGCCTTTTGGCTACTTCTGGAGTTCACGTTTAAGGAGTAAAAACTGAAAGGATATGTCCTGGACTTCTGGTCTTGTCTTTTGTGGCCCCCAAACTTTTTTCATTTTTGTGGGTTTTTGTTTTTTTGTTTTTTACTTACTACAATTGTTCCAACAGGAAACTAAGATTGTGGGACTGCAATTCCTGGTCATGTCTTTAATGAAGGGCTTGTCTAAAAAAAAATTTGTTCATAGGAAGCTGGGGTGTGAATCTACTCTGCACTAGCCTTCTGCAGACTAACTGCCCATGTGGCTCCTGTTATATGCATTAACGGTTTGTTAGTGCACTTTGATCTAGTCCTGCTCTAAAGAGGACTAGATCTAAGCACATGTCAGCAGGGTCCACATCGACCATTAGTCTCTGGCAGGCTAGCACTGAGTAGATTCACACCCCAGTTCACATGAACAAGCCTGAAAGCTGCTCGTTCCCACAAAACCAGTGTTATCAAAAATTGGAGCGCAGTCTTGTACATAATGTCACAATGGGTGGCATTCTTCATTATAATCGTATGTTTGTAAAATTGTTTGTACTTTGCAAACTTAATGAACCAAACCATATTGGGTTCTCAAAGTGCCTTTATATCAGAAGAAGTATTTGCCAGCATCAACATGGAACATGAAGGGTTTTTATTACTTTTATGGCTACAGCTTGTTCTTATACAGTCACAGTCTTATTCTTGCTAGTGATGTATGTGACTTTGTACTTGCATACTTGTAGATTTTAGACTCCCTTTTACTTTTGCATCTTATCAAATGAACTGGAGTTAAATTTGTTTAATTTACATTACAAATTAAAGCTATTGTGGGGAAACTTGCTTTCAAAACATCTGTCTATTTGATATATTGTCCTAAGAGTTGTTTTAACCAAATTAAATGTTCAACCCTGGGTCTAAGTCTATGAATGAAAGTTTCTCTCTACTGTTATAGTAATTGGAAATTGTATTGCAATAACCATGTTCCTAAAGTCACCATGCAATAGAGAAAGGCAGTTGCAGCATAATGATAATAATGGAAGAGCTGGTTTGCTTTTATCTTTCAAATACGGACTTAATCTTTTTTCTGTCAAAGCTTTGCTGTGAAAATTAGTCTACTAGGCTTTAATAGACCATTAAAGAGGTTGGAAGTAGTTACTAAACTGAGGAGAAGAGGGGAGAGGAGCTCTTCCTGGCAAATGTATCTGCAGTGGAAATGAGAACTATTGGATGTGCTATGTAAGGTCACATTCTCTTAGTTGACCTGTTTGATTCTGACATGAGCATGATCTGTCTTATCAAGGTCTTGTGTGTGTTTCCACACACTCACAAAGATTTGTCCACAGAGCGCTTTCCAGAAACACCCATAGTCCATATCTTTACTGGCACTTACATTAATTTATATTTTGAACTCAAAATGAGTGTTAAATTCCTGAGACAATCCTACAACACCTGTACTGTAGATGCAATGCTTCCACTAAAATTAGATTACTGCAGTTATCAGTGCAAAATTACTGTAGTCTCTCATTCCGTTTGAATTCAGAGACTGAACAGTAAAGATCCCTCAAGTGTATCTTTGATTTCCACATTTGAAGCTGTTGGTTAGTCTGACTAGGACACAGAGCAAGAAAAAAGAAGTCTCCTTTTTATTATTCGGAAATAAATTTTCTGTTTGATCGGAAACTTATGAATTAATAAATTTACACTTAATGTACAGAGGTTAGTGGAGTAAAACAAGACAAGGATGCTTACTTGAAAAATCAAACATGCTGCTGACTGGTACGAATTCTAGGTATTTTTCTGATGCAGATATCACTGTCCTTGTAACTGATTTAAATACCTAGTAATGGGTAGTAGTAAAACCAAGGAGCATTGTAGTTCTAATGAGTTCAACTTTAGTGACAGTTGATGAGCACTGAGGATGACAGAGACGACAGAAATACCGGAGATTGAATTGCAGGGATGGTTTGTATAGTGCAATGGCTTTGCTGCAGATGTTACTGTATTGTTGCAGTTTTCATATTACAGGGATAAGCAGCTTCTTAAATTCAGTGTTATTCCTCCTGTATGACTCACTGTGTCTGTATTTTTATATATATGAATGCTGCTCAGTTGCTAGTCTGTGCCTTGAGTTGAGCTCACCAGATTGATGCAGATATACGAGTGCTGAATGAACTAATAATTTTTAATTTGTACAAAGTTGTGATTCAAACCTGAAGGTAAGACCTCTTCCATTGCTTCCATAATGTCATACACATACATGGACTGTGGGTATTGTCTTTTGTTTGGGTGGTCTTTAACACAGGCAATAATGCAACAATCCACTGATCTTAAGGATGGTGGCCTCTGTCACTTTGAGCCACCATTTTAAAAGGAAGACCCAGCCTCTTTCACCTAAATTGTACAAGCCATAACCTCAAACTGATTTTTTGGAGTGATTATGCTTTCCAGACTTACAGCTTTGATTTGTTTCTGGGCTGATGAGCAAAGCTTCCTAATCATCTTAAAATACTTTTAACACAAGCCAAATTATTGGGGTAAGCTGCTTATTGTGAATGTTTTAGCTGAATGTTTGTGGGATGCTTTTTCAGTTGCTGTGACTTCCTAAATGTCTTGCTGCAAGTGAGCAATTGCTTGGATGTTACTGTTTTTTTTTTTTCTCTTGTGTATTTTAAAAGGACTCAAGATGGTTATATGGCTAATCTTCCTTGCCAAGATCAGTATTTGACTGAGAACATAATCTGTTTTCTGCACGCTGAGCTTTAATGAAAATTGCCCTTTAAACTACGTGTAACAAAGATTAAATTTTTCTTGCCTAGGAAGATCTTTAATTTGAGACTCGGGAGAGGAATTAGGCCCATGGTGTCTTGCTCATGAGAAATGCACATTTTTACAATCAAGATGACTATCTTAATCGTGTTTGGGATGGTTTGCCATGTTATAGCAAGATGCACATAACTTCCACATTTGTTTTTGTAAAATGTAATTTAAATGTGGTGCTAGTGTGTGGAAGCCAGTTGTTTGCTGTCCAGCAACAGGATTGTGTTGTCATTTCAAGTACATGACTTTTTGGCTGAGTAGACTTATTTTAAAAGAATGTGCAAGTAAACTGTTCAAAAGAAGATAGATGGCATACCCTGCATTTTAAGTTGGTGTAAATTGACTCCTGTAGCATGGAGTCCAGACAGCATTGGTTGGGCAGCATAGAGGCCAACAAATGCATTTTGTGCCTTCAGGATGCTCTGTCCTGGGCTAACTCTGGTCCATTTTGGGGTAGGATGCTTGTGAGGGACAGGTGTCAGGCTGATATAAACCCTGAATGTTGAACATCAAGGACTACTTACAACTATTTTGTTTCAAATGACATTAGATTCTGCTTCTAATATACTAATGGAGGTGTTGTAATCTCTTGACTTTATCCTGAATCCCTGCAGAAGATGGTCTATTTTAAGAATGATTGGGGGGGGAGGAATTACAGTAGAACCTTGCTAAATTTCACTTTTCTAATTGACAAACCTGATAACTGTCAAAATCCCATCTAATTCTCCATGAAGACATAACAGCAAGGTGCTACAGTGAATCTCATTACTAGAAATATGTATAAGATTACTACCTACAATGTTGCTTGGCATTGAACATATTGTGGAGGAAAACAGGCCATCCATTGGAGTTTATAAGATCAGATTGTAAACAGTTAAACATGAATAAAGTTACACACTGTGCGTGAGTGGCCCCCAAGTGAGGAGCTTAAGTAAATCTAGTATCTTTGCTACACTACAGTATGGGTTAAGCTAGTACAAAAAATAAGCATGTCAGAATAATTGAACCAAGTACGTTTTTGTAATGCATTATTGCAGTAATCTGTATTTGATCTTCCAGTCATTAACCTGTGAAATTTTAAAATCTAAAATGTTTTAGACAGGCTGCCTGTCTATTATCAGAATCAAGAACTCTAACTCATACTCAATAGCACTAGCTTCCACCTAAGATTCACTATTTTAACTATATTTGAGATTGATTTGTTTTACTTTTAAAATTTAAGAATTAAAAATCTGGGTAGAGAAGGGAGGAAGGAAATACCCACCAGTTCAGTACAGATGGTAAGTATCAATGTATTGTGGGGATGCAAATGAGATACCTGGAGAAAGTGCTGTAGAATAGCACTGTACTTCAATATTATGCTAAATTGTTTTAATAGAACTTACAAGGAAAACAATCAATGCACTGCTCCGTGTACCTTCACACCCACTGACTTATGGTACTGCATAATTCAGATGTCATATGAGACCTTGAGGATTGTATGAAATGGAAAATAGATTTTAAAGATGTTGTATTTTTATTAAATAGGTATGAGAATACATCTAAGATTGTTTTAAGTATCAGTTCAGATCAGCACCTTTATTCATGAACAACCTTGTCCTGTTTTCTTCAGTTAGCTTTTACGATTATATTTGGTATGACAGCTGATTATTTTTTAAACTGTGTGATTTTTAGATGGTAAAGGAATAATACGATACAGAGGAGCTTTCTTCAACCCAGTTCTCTCATTGTTAATACTGGTTTTTCAAAACCAAAATATGGTGGTCTCAGACCCTACCTTAATAGGATGCTGCATTGCATACAATAGCACTACCCACTCCTGCAGTGGTTAATTCTCCCCAGCCCCAAGACCAGGGATCCTCTTTCTGCTTTTTATTTTTTTTTAATTTTACTTCTCTTTTCCTCAAAGCCCTTGTGTTGGTGACCATCTGTGTCTGGCCTTCACAGACAGGAGGTTGTTATAGTATCCTGTCAAAAGATGCAGGTCATTCTCCCAGGATCTACTAGCAACTGAAATTTTTATTCATCTCAATATGTGCAAATGCAGAATTATCTACCTTTCAGGTTTAGTGAGCCACACTTCAAGTGTAAGTTCCTTCCTGTGGGTTAATTTTACTCTTCACAGAATGTTTGGCAGAAGCACTGTTGTGTAAAGGAATTTGCATATTTCACTTCCACATATACAAAAACCTTGATGGTAATATGGGCCAGGATCTAGTTTGAGTTGAAATCAGTAGCTACTGAAAGGGCTGGCTAGCACATCAAGCAATGTGAATGAAAAAATTACCAAAACCATTCCTAGCAGCAACAGAGTCCTGTTTGCACCTTTCCAGTTAATTTCAAATACATGAAGTACTCTTATTGGTGTGCTTAAATTTAATAGTGTGGTATTAGAACATCTATAAACAAATGTTTAAGTAGTAAATTGCTGATTCTAAATACAGTTGTGGAGACACTATACTGTAACTTGGTTTGGGAGTGCTGACGTTAAGCCATTATGACTCGCCCCAAGTGCAATATTTAAAATTTTAATGTAACCTTTTTTCTACTTGAATGGTTTAAGTAAAACATTTCATCTGATGTATTTGAAAAAGATTTGGGATCAAATTTCCTTTCAATAAAACTTGGTTTTAAAAACAAACCCTGCCTGTGTATTTTCTGATGTGACTAGCTGACAAGTAAGGATCTTGAAAGTCCATGTTGTAGACCTGATTTTTCAAGAACTTTTAAATATCAAGTTGTAGATCTACTGGATAGAAAACTCCCCTTAAACTAGCTTTTGTAGAACAGTTCAGAACAGATGGTCAGTTTTAATCACATAAGGGGCGCCAATACAATACATAATTTTTGATGCCTACTGGCATATCCAAACCTCCCAACATGTGGGCTGCAACCCCCTGAAATGACAGACCACATGGTTTCTTCCATTCCCTGTCACTTTCAGGTGATTAACAGTCACCACTTCAACAGATTCCTAGGCTGCAATGTTCTCACCTTTATTCCCTTTTCTTAGGTAGAGCAGGGTTTATGGACAGGCCTGGCTGTTTCCCAAACCCCCCCGTTAATTTCTTTCCACATTCACTTTCCCATTGCACACAATAAATAGGCCAAATTAATTACATCTTTGAGAGCTAGGGTAGCTAAACCCTTACACGGCTACTTGGATTGCCCTGGCATAGGTGATTCTTCGGGTGGCATAGTAGGACAGGAGCGAAGCACAGCAAAGTTTTCCAGAGCACTGATCCTGTTGGGAGAATGTGGTGCAGGTCTGTCTCATGCTAGTGGGACAGTGCATGTGGTGTAGGGTGCACAGAACTGGCAAGCTATTTTTTGTACACACTTACCCAGTTCATCTTGCTTAGGTTCATCTGAACTTCCCAGCCAGAGGCCATTCCTCCCCTCCAGGGGTAGGTCTTCTAGCATTCATGATGCCCCTGGGAAGGGGAAGCTTCTCCCCAGGATGAGCTCAAACCTGTGAAACTTTCCTGATAAGCAGTCCTGAAACCAGCAAGACACTTTCCTTGCAGTTCCATGTCTTCATCTGCAGAGTATGTGAACTCCTGTTCAAGGGAATGTTCATACTCCCCTAGTGTTGTCGGTAGCAGAGTATAAGTCCACTTACGCTGTTTGTATGTTTAAAGTAAGGATGGGAAAAAAATCTAAATTTTAAAAATTGCCACAAAGCAGGGGACAGGTAAAGGCTCTTTATTCAAGTGTTCCTTTGACATTCATTGTCTTCAAAGCTAGATTCATCCACAGCAAAGAGCTTAAGCATATCTATTTCCAGAGGATGCATATTGCCTGCTATGATCATGGAATGTAGTGGGCCACCTAGTTCTACGGTGGACAGCTGTTGTAAAGTGCCTGAAGCAATTTTCTGATCCATGGCACCCACCCTTGCTAGGCCAACACAGAGTGTGCTCTCTGTAACTTCTACAAAAAAAGAAAATATAATTTCAGGAAATAATTCATCCATTTTCTAGAGAGCAAATTCAATCTCTTTACTGAGCAATATTTGCTTCACTGAAAGTAATGAATGTATTTTACATTTACAAAAGCATTGAGTCTCAAGATTCCAGTCTGACTTTAATCTAACGCTTTAAAGCCAAGAGTTTTTTGGCAAAATGGGATGGAACTCTGTTCTTCGAGGAGATGCAGTATTATAAGCCACTTACTAACTGTAGTTTAAAATGGGATGTGGCAAATGCACAGAAGAGGGGTGCTAGTTCCCTTCTCCAAGTGAGTCCTCCTTTCAGTCAGTGCCAGTAGCAGGATACTGGTCTAGGTGAGAAGGCTACCTTCGCCCTCCTACTTCCAGACCTCAGGAGAGAGAAGTAAACTACTAAAGGAATAAGGGAAGGGAATTTGCTCTAAAATGTATATTTTGTAAATTTAAAAATCAAAACAAATTTTAATAGAAATACAAGTGAATTAAGGGGGTGTTTGTTTTAGCTCTGCTCTCAGTAACAGTACAAATGTAAAGTAGCTACCTAATATAAAGGCTTGGTAGAATTTGATTTTTTTATAACGGACATACCAATAATAGTTTATGCATTTTATCCAATTTTTACAGTTCCACAAAATTATGGGTTTTAAACTTTTTTTTGATTTATCAATTTAAAATTTGTTATGGGGAGTGTCTGATGCTGAGATTCAAAAACAAAGCTTTAACTTCACACTGTCAAAATATACACAGTAAATATTTTTAAATCAAACTAAATTCAAGCAGTATTTCTTCATCTGTAAATTGACAATGTAAGTGTCAGCTTGTGTCTATTTTATCATATACATCTACCACCAAATCTAATTCTTCCAAGCCTACTTCTATCAATGGGATTAACCTGAATTTACCCTGGGGTAAATAAGAATTTGGCCAATAACTAGTGAAGTGACTTAGGTGTCTATCATATGAAAATCTTGAGGTACAATTGTCTAAGGCATTCACAGTATAGTTAAAGGGAAATGTCAATGTTAAAATATTCTAACAGTTCTAAAAACCTGTGTAAATAAACCCTCCATTCTGATCCATTCAAACAGCCTCCCCTTGTTTAATCTGATGTACCAAACGGAAAGATGAATGGTAACTATACCAGTTGAACCAGACTGAAGACCTTGACTATACCTCCAGGAACCACTAACTCCCATTCACCAGTGCTCACTGCCTGCAGTACAGCTTGGGCTTTGCCAAACACATCTTGTGATCAGCTGACTAGGGTTGAGGGTAGCCCAGTTTCACTTCAAGTCAGGAGCTGCTCTAATGAATAGGAGCTGAGCAGTAGTAGAGACTCTTCAGTAAAGGTAGAGAAAGGGGAAGCCTGGAGTACTAGCACCTGGAAACTACTATTAAATATGTACCTGGTTCTTCTCCTTGAAGCCTCCTATTTTGAACAATGGCAAGAAGCTGTTCTGCAGCTTGGTTCACAGTCATGTACCGTGGTGATTCATAAATCTTCTTTCCTCTGATGGAAAAAACTAAAGTAATAACTGCCTTGCCAAATACTATTCAACCACAGAATACTAGGTTATTGTAATTCATTCCATTATCTCTATGGCACATTTCAGCTTTAACATAACCCATATGGTTTAAGTAATCCATAGGCCGTGGGGGTGGGGGTGAATTTCAGCTCAATTGCAGTCCCTGGGCTCTCTGCACACTTGTAAAGCAGCAGGGCATAAGTGGCTGATATTTTGCTATCTTAAGATTCAAGTGAGACTGCTGGAAACTACAGCGTCTGCATTTACTTCCAACAATCATCATGTAAGCAGATAACTACAAAGCAGAAATTTCTCAAACTCTTTGGCGAGTTTGCCAATTCTGGCTACATTCAAATGAAGTTTATGAATGTGAGTCTAGGCCAAAAGTTACAGCATGTCTTGAAGCAAAAGTTTATAGACCCAATTATAAAAAGATGGTTTAGAAATGACAAACTTCTTTGAGACAGCTAAATGAACTTAGTTAAACTAATACTATTAAAAATGCTTCTGTTTGGTGTTAAGAGAATGGAATGGCAGTACTCCAGATGCAGTTTCTGGCCAGTGCACAGAGATGATTCAGAGCACTGTCTTGCTTTCAGCTGAGAGAGACTATACTGTGCAAGATTGAACAATTATAAGACTTCATTCACTGAACAACCTCTTATAGAAGGACCTAGTTAAGACAAAATGTTGTTTATTGAACACAATACCAAAATCTAGTGTGCAATTATTGCAAATTAAGGGCTCAATCCCATTGTAATCAATGGCAAAACTCTCATTTATTGCAGTGAATGCAGAACCATGCCTAAGTGCTTTACTTCATTACAAGTGAGCATCTAAGAAACAAGTGAGTGCAGTATTACTGAGAAGGAGGAAGGATCTTCAACCAGTTTTCACTAGAACATGCTGACAATATATTTATTTTCAAAATAGTGACTCACTTCATCAGGTTTTCCAGAGATTGCTCCTTTACTTTTATGTCTGCAGGATAAAAGTGATATTTATTAGGCACAAATAAAGACTTCATCTGAGATACTGTAATCTTCTCACTCATCTTAACTGTCTAAACGGCTAAGGGCTTAGTTAGTAGTTTAAATTAGCAGGTCTCTTCTGCTTTTCATACACCAATATTTTAGCTAGTGAGGGAACTACAAACACGGATTTCTAGCAAAGTAGTATCAGCTCTATTCTGAGCTTCAAATAGTAGTTATGAAGAAAAACTTTCCTTTCCTTTTATGAAGATGAAATTTTACCTGGGATTGCATTGTTCTTATTTGCACTAGAATCCATGTAAAACAGCCCTTAAAACACTTAAGTACTACAATGATGGGCACAGTTGTCATAAGATTGAAAAATCTCAAAATGATACTGTTCTAAAACATTTAAACATAGAAGTTTCTGGAAGCCAGATGTATTGCACACTTCATTCATATATTCTAGGTTCAGCTGCACCTCGGTAGTCAGAAGGTAAAGCAGCATAACTGAACAACAGCATTCACTTTAACCACCACACAGGAACCTAATTCATTAGCAGTTCCTTCCTGCTACAATTTCTGGATGTGTGTGTTTTAAATACAGAGCAACTCTGCAATTTTATGGAGACTCAGGCACCTGCATTATCTCTGACAGGCACTCAAGTTCTACAATAGGTAGCAGTGGAAATTATATACTAAAGAGTAGAATGTTTAGCTTGTACTGACTCACAATTTTTGACTTGGTGTTCAAATCATAGTGCATTACACTCAAATCTGTAGGCAGGAGACTTACATCACATCTTAAATCTGTATTCAATTTGTAAAAAAGCTGTACAAAAAAGGTAAAAGTTGGGGTATGTTTTCAGTCTTAAAATCGCTGTTCAGATTTTAGCATCAGCCTCTGCCAAGGAAATTCTGAGGAAAAGGTTTTTATAACAAGATCTGTGCATAAACTGGCATTTTATTTTTATTTTTTTAAGTTGTGGGAACTAGAGGTATAATTTATCGTAAGTTAAAGTTACGGTACTTCCAAATCACAACCATATTCTAATAGCACTGTTTCTGCATTTTGCTTTTACTCATTTGTGAAATATCCTTTAATGTAATTTGACTAAATCAATTAAAATAGACCACAACCAAGTGGTATTAAAGGAACACTTAATTTGAAATTATCAAGTTTCAAATATGACTT